GGGGGATCGACCTCCTTATAATTCAATCTCTGCAATTCAGAGAGAAAGTAAGGGAGGTTAACCTACTTATCTCAAGAGATAATAACAGATAATAATATAAAATTTCTAATAACAGCTCACGGAGTGCAAGCTCGATATTTCAATTCGACTCCCGTCAATTCATACCAAATTTGGAATCTTTTAATATTATTGAATTATAACATCAGTGTAAAGTTGTTTAAACTAATATCTGAGAGGGCAAATTTTTTTTTGCTATTCGTGCACTTCGAGCACCGGTAGAATTGTCGTGGAAAGTGTCCCTGAATAATTTCGAAAGGGATTTTTTAAGGCGGTTGGTAATTTACCTAAAACGTTGGTGGAAGGAGTCTGAGAAGATGGATTTACCCTGCAAATCTTTTCAGTTCCATTTACACGAATAAAAGTCCCTTTTTCTCAAGCGGTCTTGATCTTCTTACACAATTACATACACTCGTGTATAGATTCGTGGGTAGGTCCTTGTTGGAAAGCACCAGTGGTACGTCCCACTTCAATAGATTTGGTGGTAATCCTGAAGACGAGAATATGAAGGGGGGGGGGGGTGTCGTCTATTCTTTGATTACGTTAAACGTTTTTAAAAAACAAGTCTATTAATTGCTTAAAAATATCGTGAATGGTGTATTTCTTTGTCCTACTGTGAAATGACGTTTAAATAGACCTGCACCGAGTGCTCACGATTCGCCTACCAAAATTCGTGAATAATGAGATCATTATCAGGTGTTACGAAAGAGCTTCGAAGAATAAATAACGTTTCTAATAATATAAGAGTTTCGCACTGCAGTTGGTCCAGAGTGTATAACTGAAGAACTAGTTACCGCGTGCAGTAAGCAGCTAGTGCTCAGAAAGTACTTTGCCAAAGGGTACGAAAAAAAAAGAACTCGCATAAAATAAAGAATAGGTTTATTTATTTTTAAAAAAGAAATACATATAGACTGTAGAAGTAGATCTAAATCTAATAGTTAATACATGCAGGTTTGTGTGCTTTCCGAACTATCCAAAACGATTCTAAAATTCATTAGTAGGCCTGTTTTTTTTCTTCTCAAATCTACGACAAAATCCCACCTACACATCCCCTTTTCCCCTGGGTATATATAGCGCGGAAGCCAGTTAAAAGCCAACAAACAATCTTTTGTACGTTTCCGTCTGTTACGAAGGGCCAAAAGTCTATCTGTAGTTACGTTGTTCAATGAAGATAAGGCGGGGGTACAGGAGTTGTCAGTGATACAACAACCTTATCGGCTGGGATTGTGAAGTGTACCCACGGTTTTTCGGACGGGTGTCTAATACCCTGACCAGATTGACATCTATAATTATAATCACCGTTTGTCTGGAGGGGCTGTTTCTCTTTCTTTCTACGTTTGGCTTGTTTCGTTGTCCCGAAGAACTAAGCCAATGAGATTTTGAGCAAAAAATTGTCACTGAAGTTTTAAAAGAAGATTAAACTACCATTTTTCCATAAAGAAATTGTCAAAGTAAAGCGGGATAAAACTAAGTGGACAATCAAAAAACAAAACAAAACAAAACAAAAACAAAAAACAACAACAACAACAACAACAACAAAACAAAACAAAACATGTCACGAGCAAAGGTTGTAGTTCTGTCCAGTACAAAGGCCCTGTTATTTTTAAACAGCACGCAAAGTTCTGAAGAAATAGAGTTAGAGACCAATGACAATGAAAATACGACGCAGGGCGAGGGCTATATGACGAGAGCGCGTGCAGAACTAGCGGTCTATATTCTTATCGCTGGTGTTCTCCCTGTCATCGCCGCCTTTGGCATCGCAGGAAACGTCATGAGTGTGTGCGTACTCATACGTCACGGACTAGACAAAAGCTACAACGTCATGTTAGTGGCCCTAGCTTGTTCTGATTCTTCGTTTTTGGCTTCCATGTTTTTCTACGGCTTTGTCGCCGCTGCGGGGTTTCAATATCCTCGAAACAGAGGCTCGTTCCATTTTGTGTTTTTCGAGGTGGTTCGTGTTCTCGACTACGGGGGAGGATGGGTGTCCTTCTCGATGCCAGTGTTCATTACGTCAGAACGACTGTTAGCTGTTTTCTTTCCCCTCAGTTTGTCCAGAATTGTTTCTCCTCGCAGGACTTCGGTGGCGGTCGTCTGCCTTTTCGTGTTTCTCTACGGATTGATGATATTTCTGACTGTACGAGAGAGTTTAGCCTACGATTACATCAGACAATATGGAGGTACAAACCAAAGCGAGGGACTCATTGAAGCTGCTATTTATAGAAATACTCTCGACGCCACGGATGTTATCAGAGAGTTTAGTAAAGTCGTTTACGGACCTTTTCCAATCTGCTTCGTTTTTGGAAGCTGCATCATCCTCGCAATAAAAATCAAAATGGCGAACCGGAAGCGCAGTCAGATGACAGGGGGAGGTAACAAAGGATCTGGCTCGTCTGCTCGAGTCACGGCGACACTTCTCGTTGTCTGTATGGTCTACACGGTGTGCAGCTCCATCGTGTTTCTGTGCCACTCTGACGTCATCACGGCCTACTACGCCAAGGGTCCAGACGGGGAAATGACCGGCGTTGTCCTCGGGGAGATCGTTAACCTGTTCGGCGTCCTCAACTGCTCCGTCAACTTCGTCATCTACGTGGTAATGAACAAGAACTTCAGGGACACTTACGTCGCCATGTTTAATGCATGCACCAAAAAATAACAGTGTATTCTTATTTCTACCAGAAAGTTTTGTCCAGAAAAGATTTTTCAAACATCGTACAAATAATTCGGTGCCCTCTCCACCCCCTCCCCCTTCTGCAAAAATTACAACCACCAAAAACATTAATTATAATATGGCCTTTGACAGTGTATATACCAAAAACATCGCAGCGGACCTTGACCCTCAACTAAAGGAACTGTCACACCGGTCCGGTGAAGAACCATCAGGTAAACAAGAGATATCGTGGTATACCTTCAACTGAACCGATACCAATAACCTTTTATTACCAATGGTTTGCCTGTGTAGAGGCTACTACATGTGCATCTAGTTTTTGTTGCGGTTTCAGCAAACAAAATATACTATTGATTAATGCTTCACAATCTTCCAGTTTTTTGTGTTTTTTTTTACTGCTAAAATAATATCTTTATAACCAGTATCTCTTTCTTCCTTCGTGGATGTTGAT